ATGTGTGTGTGTGTGTGTGTGTGTCTGTGTGTGTGTGTGTGTGTGTGTGTGTGTGTGTGTGTGTGTGCGTGCGTGCGCGCATGTGTGTGTGTATGTGTTGGTGGTGAAACACCAAACAAATGTGCCAGTTTTGGACAATAAAGATGTATATTATCTATCGTATCTTAAAAGGTTGACATTATTTTCCCCAACCCCATACTTTAGCGTACGCTTAAGAAACTCGGTCCAACAGTCGGGTTAGTACTTTTCGAGACATATCGATGTTGTATCATCTGCTGCAGCTTACTTATAAGTCAGTATGGCCTGTTTGAGAGAGAAAAATCAGATTTAAAAAACTAAATAAAGTGGGTGTGGCTTATATACATGTGCGTTCAGGAATCCAAACTTTACCGTAATCGGAGAGGAAATCTTGAATGCGGACTGTATCACATGTCAATAGAATGCGGTTTACATTAAACCTTTCAAACTTTGCTGGAAAAAATCGGACAAAGAGAAACATCTACTGAAAAAGGGATCATAACAATTTTACAAGGTTTTATACGAACTGAGTCTTCCAATTTGGCCCTGCCGGCGTCTGTGGTGTAGCAGTTAGGAGCATTGCTGTCGCACGGAGTATACCCGTGTTCAATTCCGAAGTAGGGAGAATTTTTATGGAGTATCTCTCTCTTTCTGCTGGGATGTTGTGTGCCTCTCAGTCCGGACTGGCCCTGTCAGACAGCATTGGAAACATGTCTCCTAAAGTATCTAAAATGTGTCGATAGGGCCTTAAAACAGCCTACCTTAAATACCAAAGTTTAGCCCCTATAAAATTGCTAAAAATAATACTGATCTTGCTTGTTGCCACTTGTTTAATTTTTTTTTCTTGATTTTTCTTCGGTGATCTTTTTATAACATAGAAAGAACAAAAGAACCCTTGAATTAGACGCAGTGAAGAAAACGTTCTCTATCATAAGGCACTGCATGCGTGCACATGATGTAAGATGGTTCACCTTGAATTATAATCTTACAACAACAATCTTTCCTGGTCTTAGGAGCCACTGCACACTTATCCGATTTTGTTTGACTGGCTTGACAGCGACGGTAGCTAGTCAGATCAGATTTGTACAAGAGAACGCTAATGCGACTTGTTTTTATTCAATTTCTTCAGGTCAGTTGATCTGATTCAATGTGAATAACTCTCTCTTCAATAACAATGACGATATTAACAGTTTTGACAATTTGTCAAGCATTTGAGAATTACGGCCCTTGTACAAGTTATGCTTTCCGCCTATCATGCCAGAGATTGATTTATGGCATAGAATTTTTATTTTATTTTAGCATTCCTATCAGTTAACAAAGTTATATTTCCATACAATACCCTGTTAGGCGTAGTTAGAATAAACCCTGGCTCTCATAACATATCTAAACTGGGGAATGCCCCCCCCCCCCCGAAACATTTACAATAGATTAAGCAGTAAGAAATCAATATGCGTGTTTGTTTTTGCCTTTCACCCTCGGCACTGGAATGTACTTTTAAATCGTTTGTTACATACATTGTTCTTTAAATAGCTTCTGCCGTGTTCCAGTCATGCACGGATTCCGCCTCTGAAGCGTTACAGTAGCTGTTAGGCGCTTTGGCGTTTTAGGCATAAGACCTAAGCTCCATCCAGGAGTGGGGAGAATTTGTATAAAGTATTTCGGTCTTTCTGTTGAGACCGCTTTTTAAATAATCTTTTGTCGGTGGGGGTGTAGACCATTTGCGTTAAAAAACAACTTCGACAACAAAAAGAAACCCACACAATCACGCCCATCCTCCTAGCTGAGTTAAACAATTATAATTATGAACCTTTTAAATCACTCTGGTTATTCGACGCACTCTTTTAAGCCACTTTAAAAGAAAAGAAAAGAAATATTATAGTGTCGTTAAGAGTACCGATTTTTCGTTTCTGTTTGGTTACCTAAACCCAAATGGTAGACAACAGCATGCTTGCGACAAAAATAACAAATTCGGGTTTTATGTGAGTATATTACGGTACAAAATGTGCTGCAATATTATTACTGGTCTGCCAATCTGATATATAATATAATTATGTGGATGGTCGATGGATGCTTTGGTATGGTTTTCTCTTTACCTATCAAACATCTATCGTTCTTGTGTCTCCTCCTCCTTTTTCTGTTTGTTATTTTTTTTGTAGTACTTCTAATCTTCGGCACTTATGTGACCTTATTGTGTTGCAAGTGGCGTGAAATCTTACTAAACCAAAGGACATGATCATATTATATTATGTTCGCTTCGTCTTTTAAGAGTTAAGTGTGAGCCACACTTAACCTCCTTTATTTCTGGTTACATACCACCGCGGAGCGTTAAGACATAACATCTGCGTGTTGATAAGAGACGAAGACAAGGCTTCCCCGTTGACTACGAGAGAATTTCTGTAGTCGTAGAATGCTATCTCTCCTCTAGATATAAGATGGATTTTATTGAAGATGAAGCGCCTGCAGTCTTCTAGTAGGACTCTTGACTAAAACAAAAACTTATTCTCATTTGATCAACGAACATGCGCTAAGGAAATCAAGCTGCTCAACTGCTGCAAATCACAGTGGGGGTGAGTAGGTAACAAAGATGTGTCTTACATAACAAGTTTTTAAAAATTTTAGTAAGTATTTTAAGGCAACAATAAGGCCATATAAGTGCCAAAGATTAGAGGTGTTACAAGAGTGTAACAAACACAAAAAAAGGAGGAGGGGAGATAAAGACGATAGATGTTTGATATGAAAGAAGAAGCAAACCACACCAGAGCACCCACCAACCACCTACTCACAACAAGTTACTCATCTATTTTTTAGTATTATTGTGAACATCGAACCTATTATTCAAAGGAAATCAAGCC